ATAATATCAGCAAGAATATGTTAAAAAAGAGATTGTGCTATAATATACCTGACCCTGACCACACAGCCAAGCAGAGTAGTCACAGGAGACTTCCTTCCCTTTATTTAGAGAAGTAAAAAACAGCCGAGCTTTACTCATGGAGTTTTGCCAGGTTATTCCTAATATTGGACTTCCTTTCCTACACACTATCTATTGTTAGTATTACAAAGTCACAGTATAGGAAACGGGCATTCTTACAAAAACTGGAATTGAAACAAAATCACCATTCATACCTTTGAGTCCATACATGGACACATTTTAGAAACAGCACTAAATTTAAAACAGGTCTAATACATTTAACACTAAATTCAAAAGCTTAGTTTAGTGAGTTTTAAATGAGACTTGTAGGCCTAATCCAAAGTTCAGATACTGATTTTATTTATATATGTGTATATCTAAACTAACTCCATAGCTATTTAAAACAGTTTTACCCATACTATTCAAGGAACGTCTAATTAATTAGCCAGTTAAAAGGTGAAAAAGTATTTAGTCTAGTACATTAAAAGCTTGCAAGAAAGCATGGCAGGGACAAGCAAAAGTACAAGAAAATAAAGCTTGTAGGAGAGTCTAAATAGACTTCAGAGATGAGGAATTGATCAAAACTTGGATCAGAAACCTAAACAATAGATTTTACAAAATGGGCAGTGATCATACAGTTCATTCAAAAGGATTTTAAAAAACCCAAAAAACAGAACAGGAGGAAGAAAAGCATTGCTTCTTGAGTTTACTCAGTGCTTTAAAGAATATAAACATTTTACAACACCAAATGTCATCCTGAGTTTCAAGAACTGGGTTATATTATGTTCTTTGCTAAATGGCTTATCAAATTAATTAGCAGATTCAAGAAACAATGTTTTACAATGGCTGAAAACTGGACGTTTTATTGTTTTCAGTTTAAAATTGATCACAGATTTGGAAAACAGAAGGTGAAATACATTCCAAGCTAAGTCTTGAGACTATGAGCAATTCTTATCAGAAGACAAATGCTGCAAATGATTGTGTAGTGGAACTTCTCCCATGTAGATCATAAAAAACAAACTTTCTGCCCTCTGCTGTTTAGACCAGGAAAAATAAACTGGGATACAAATCTGTTGAGATATAACTAAGGGCTGAGCTAACTCTGTTTTTAAGAAAATAATCTAGTTTATGCTTAAACTAGCTGGATTTTTATTTCTTCTGTGTGCTTGGACTCTGCACTGGCGTGGTTTGCCTGAATTTAGTGGTCTATCAAAAAGGTGCCAGGGAGCCATTCGCAAGTTGCTTACCTCAAAAAAACAAAAGTTACTTGACATACACAGGAAGGGCAGTTCTGCAAAACAAACTGGCAGTAAAACAAATCATACAGAAGTTCTATACTGAGGGTAACAGATTATGTTCCATACTTAATAGATTTCTGAAGATAAAATACTAATACACTCAACATCCTCATGGATTATTCAGAACTTTATTTGGATCTCTAAACTGCTTCAAGATTAAAATGCTGCACTGCCTACAAGTCAAGTTTGATCAGCCACTTTGAAAAAAGTTACTTAAGAGCTAAGTTGAAAGTCACTTTTTTCCTCTTATAAAACCAACAATCAGTTCTGCCAGACTTGCCAAAAAAAAAAAAAAAAGTAGATAAGTGGCCTCAAATTTAACTTTGCTTTTAGCAGCTAGATACCAGAGCAAATTTTAAAAAGCCTATTGTCCTGGTTTCAGCCAGGATAGAGCTGGTTTTCTTCACAGAAGCTGGTGCGAGACTGTGTTTTGGATGTGGGATGAGAAACTGTTAATAATGTGCTGATGTTTTGGGTTGTTGCTGAGCAGTCAAGGACAGTCCAGCTTCTCGTATTGGGCTGCCAGCGAGCAGGCTGGGGGTGCACGGGGAGCCGGGAGGGGACACAGCCGGGACAGCTGACCCAGGCTGGCCAAAGAGATATTCCCTACTGTCCGACGTCATGCCCAGTACATAAACTGGAGTTGGCCAGGGGGTGGAAATCGCTGCTCGGGGACGGGCTGTCGATCACGGGGTGGTGAGCAATTGCTGTATTGGGCATCACTTGTTCTTGTACATTCCTTTGTTGGTATTATCATTGTTGTTCCCTTCTCTCTTTCTGTCCTATTAAACCGTGTTTATCTCAACCCACGAGGTTTTTTTTTCTAATTCTCTCCCCCGTCCCACTGCGGGAGGGGGAGTGAGTGAGCAGCTGCGTGGTGCTTAGTTGCCAGCTGTGGCTAAACCAGGACACCTATTAAAAATAAAATGGATAAAAAGTAGCAACATTACTTTTTTTTTAAATAGCGTGTGAATAGTGCTTTGTACTCTCCATGTCTTGTTCAAGGGTTTTGATAAAGCAATTGCAAATTCATGAGAGGAAACAAGTTATATTAAATATAGCTTTATACACCACCTTTAATTTTGGATAGTTTACATTAAAACTGAAAAATCCAGATCCAGGAGTGAATTCTTACTTTACTGCTATCCATGGGTTGCCAAAGTAGATGCTTTATCACTCTCCAGCTTCAAATGCCCTACAGAACAGCAGCTCTACAAGTACCGCAATTCCAACATTGGCAACGCAAGTCAGAGCGATTGCATCAACAGCAGTGAGCGTCACTCCCTCTGCATCCACATTCATCGTCATGTTTTAGAATTCTGCACTCCGGTACTTCTGTCGTTGCAGCTGCCAAGCCCTCGGTAGCTGCCGTGTGTGCTATGAAGACTGGGAAAGGGGGAATTTGCAGAGCTCTAGAAAGACCCATTCCAACCTCACAAAGGCAAATCTACCTTTCTTTACCTTAAACTAAAATCCGTCACTGCCGAGAAGCTGCTTTTCCAGGCTCAGTACTTCTCCCCAGAACAAACCAGAAGGTGCAATTCAAAAGCAACACGCTTGGTGCAAAGGATCTTTCTTCGTACTTACTCTTGAGTCTATTCATGCATCACTGCCAGAGTTTGAGTTTCTCTAAATTTCACCCAGCTTCGAAGTTTAACCTGGACCATCCTTCAATTCAGGTCATTTTTTGCTAGAGGAAACAAGACCATTCAGTGTCGCAGTTTTTACTTCTACACTATCGTAGTCAGCTTCAAAAAAAGGGAACATGCAGACTTTCTAGTGACATTTTGTATTCACAAAATCTGCTTTGAAGTGTCCATTTTACTCATGACTATTGAGGGACATCCCCCTTCTCTTCTACCACATGCTTCAGGTCACGACACACATGTAAATTGCCAGCACTTACCATGATGCCAACTAGCTCTACAGCAGCTTGTTTTCTTTTTTAAGAAGTTAAAGAGACAGAAAGGTAGCTATGTTCAGATTCATAGGGCAGTAGTGAGATGAGATGCAAAAAGCTTCTAGGACTTGTATCTAAAACTTCTATTCTGCTGCCACGAGCTCTAGCCAGTGGCTACAGTGAGGAGAGATGTAACAAAGAGAAAACACTGGCCTACATATTGGTTGTTCTTGTATTTCACCTGAAAATGTAGGCCAATTACATTAAAAAATACTAATCAGAAATCCCAAGTAGTAACAATTGATCACATTTAACTACCACATACTGTATGTGGAAAAAAAAAACAACCCTATGATTCTATGAAAAAAGTCACCACATATGGATGGTAAATGAAACACATTGCTAATTCATATATGGGAGAGGAAATTAAGTTTATTCACACCATCACCACCTTATGTAAAGCAATTCGAGAATAAGCAACTCCATATTCTAGAAAACTGACCTTTTTTTAAGCGGTAATAAGTGTTACTGATTAAAGCACTTCTGCCATGCAGGTTTCATTTGAAACAGTACCTCTCAAAGGTACAAAAATTCAAAATAAGAAATTAATGCATCTGTGAATGTAGGAACCCCATTCATACAGAAATTTATGGTGTTGCTATAAAAGACACTAAATACAGTTATTGCCAGAATCTGGATGTTAAGGTTCTCTCTTACCTATTTGTCCTCTCCAATATACTTTAAGGGCTTTATGACGCACCCTCACTAGACAGTAAAACATTCATTAGTAACTAGTTAACCTCAGTCACAAAAGCTACAAAATATTGCATTAGAATACAATTGAAAAGTGACTTTTGACATAACCTGTGTTGACATGTTTTTCCTCAAAACAGAAAAGCATCATTTATGTTGCAACACGTAGCTAGTGCTTTCTTTATGAGCACACTATCCAAACGGGAACAAAAATTGTTGCCTCACAACACGAAGATCAGATTTAGCAGAAGTTAACACTATTCTTAATCTGCCTCCTAGCCCACCGTTTTACTTTTACAATTTTTCAGATCACCTTTACGCACAGAAATAATCACTATGCTAACTTACGTTCAGGCCACTGGGTTTTCTATGGTAACTGCTACCTGCAGAAAGCATGAGACTGCCTAGTAGGGGTTATAGCTAGCTTTGTTGAAATGGAAGCGTACTCTTTCATTACACAAGAAGGGTAGAAAAGCAGTGTAACACCCAGTCTCTGAGCTGACTGTATCCTTTGGAGGAAGAGGGCAGTAGTTATATATACTCTTATACATACAGAAGTCTAGATCGAAGAAACATCCTTGTGAAGTATCATTCCCACCAGTATAGGGGTTTTCAAAAAAAATTCGAAACAGAAGGAAAACCAAGGGGAAAAAAACACTATGTGATAAAGGTAAAAATAAATGTGCAGCTTCATATAATATTGAGACAGCTCCACTTAAGGAAAGCTCTACTGATTTAGTGTTAAAAAAATTCTCAGCATAGCATGCTGAATTTCTACATTTGCAAGTAAAGCAAAACCAATTACTTATCTCAGGCAGGTGTGTAAAGTTGGCACCAAAGGACATTCAGCCTATAATTACTGGCTCAAAATCCTGCCACAGGAAAGCATTTCATCTGATCCAGATGTTTATTTTTCCTCAAAATGTATTTGTGAACATTGTTTTTTAGTTGTTTCACAAACGGCTTAGTACGACAACAGCCACGAATTAATATTACTTCATGTTGCGCACTATTCGCCTGCAATGGTTGGTTTTCATTTCCCCTAACGCTTGTTCCAGTTGCTGAATTAGGTGGAGGAGGGTAGAAGGGTCCGTTTGCAACACTTGGGCAGTTTGATCTTCATTCTGATTAAGATGTAGCTTTATAGTCACAGCAGGCTTAATCTGTTGTCTCAAACTTCTGCTTGCAAGCTGCATGAGGGAGTTTAGGTGAAATGGGAAAAGGGAAACAAACAAACAGAAGAGGGTTATCAACTTTCAGGTTTACAATTCACAACAGGTTTGCAGGACCTGCCTGGAGGACTGTTTAAAAATCCTTTTCATCCACATTAAAGATATACACAATCTATTACTTAGTTTTATTATTAAGCAATATTAATCCACTTTAATCAATGCTTTCATAATATTTCTGAAAATGAGGCGATAATTTAGGCTATGCTAACATTTGAAAGACACCAATGGAGCTATGAACTCAATTTTCATAAAGCAACAAATACTTTGTATCATTACATACCCTGTTTATCTCATAACTAGCTATCTTTGGTGCAAGAACAAAACCATGTCAGTTTTAAATACATGAAAAACTGTTGCCTCAGGTACTTTCAAGCAATATAAATTTGTTGTTTATGATGTTAAAAAAATGTAAAGGAAAATACAGAATACTGAAAACATAAATGAAGGTACCTGCACATCCAGTCTCCATTCAAGACTGTGATAGCTGGGAAGCTTTGGTGCCAGCTCACTAAGGATGCTTCTGATCTCTTTCCTGTTATCAAGGTACAGCTGCAGCAATAATTTGTTCAATTCATCTGAGAATCCCAGAACATGAATGGAATCTTGGAAGTCTATCTCAGAAATCTAGAAATAACAATTTAGGCCTTAATATGGAACTGGGTTATAGTTGTTATTTGTTGAGAAACAAATAAAACTGTAAGCAAAAACTACACATGGTATGCCTGCAGTTATTTTCCTGCAGGAATGTGTGAGGACAATTCTACAGCTAGGACAAAACAAATCATCCAGGTTTTAAGTTATTTACACACGTTGATATATTACTGCTGATTTGCCTCAGCTTCAGGAACAGTTTCAGATCAGTTTTTTAAAAAGAAAAACATTCAACATACATTTAAGCCTTCATGTCAGAGAACAAAATTCAACACAAAAAAGCATCTGAGCTTTGTCATGAGGGAGTACGTTATTTCGGTCATCTGTATATCAACAGTATGTTAACATAATATTGATACTCAAATTACAAATCCTCCGAAATCATCTGAATGTCTACACATGTAAGCGAGCACCAGGTACAACTTTAAGGCTCACGTTACAGTAACGCAGAGTGGCACTAAGAAGCCGATTCCCACAGGTCAGCGCCTTTGTGCTGAACTGGAGAAGCTTAGTTCATGATTGTGGAAGCAGTATTTATTCACCAGAGAACATCATACCTTTACAATGCATTCATACCATAAACATGTTCTGTGATCAACTATATTCTACCATAACACACTACGATTTATCTGTCAAAGTCACCTTACTTCAAGGGAAGTTTCTGCAATATTACAATCCCTTTCCCACCTGCTCTTCAGAACAATGCCTGCTTGAGTTTAATTTGGAATCGCTTGCTTCTGTATCCCTTCTCCATCTCTTCATTGTTCAAATATTCTACTATATCAATAGCAAAAAGTCTTTCCAATGGAAACAGTAATTATCCAACTATTACTCTTTCAGTGTCTGCTTACACCCACCCAAACTTCTGATGTCAGGAGCTGAAAAAGCTCTCAAACCTACCACATCCGACAAACATAAGGAATACTTCACAGGGGGTTAGTACAGCACACATCCTGTACAGTAACTGAAGTACAACAAAAAAATTTTCCCTCAAGTTTTGTTGTACTTCAGGATTAAGCTCTAAATGTTTCTGTACATGAACTAAATTACTGCATGTTCTTGCTATGCTCTATTAAAATGTTGTCAAGTTTTCGCTTCAGACACTGAATACAAATTCCAGCCATTCATGCAGATGCAGTGCTTCAATGAGAGAACAGCATAAGAGACTTTTTTTTTTTAATTAAAATACATGTCATCAGAATTTTGAACTGGGTTTTCCCCATTCATCAGTATTTTCAGAGCTAGAAGCATTTAAAAGACATCTCTTGAGCATATCGCCAAATTCATTACACAAAGGTGTGCTTACCATAAGCTTGGAGCTTTCAGTAAGGAGGTACATTAGTCCTTCTACCCCGTGCTGAATCGTGTCAACACCGATGTTAAGTTTTCCTTTAAAGAAAGCACAAAGTACCTTTTACTTCCTCATCAAGCTGCCACAGCAACAACAGGCAAAACTGCAAATTTATCCAGAGATAACTTGCAAAATATGCATGGAAAAGGCCGCCCTTCAAGTAATAATGTAAGGGGGTCAGACAGCAAGTCAGATGCCCCACCTAGGACAAACAAACCAAAAAACCCAAGAAAAACCCAAACCGATGATTTCTGACGGTAGGACACAGAGACACCTGCAGGCCGAGGTACCGCACGCAGCCCGCCGGCACGCAGGCCAG